CTTTAGGAGAAACTAAATTTCATTTACTAAAATTGCATTTTGGCATGAGATTATTTATGTATTTTCAAATGCATGAATGAGTTTAAATTATCGAGCTAAAGAAGCAAAATGAAAAGAAAATCACAATGAAATTAATTATATTTGAGTAAAATTTGTGCCAAAAGTTCCATGTCTTTTGATGCACCATGGTATCTTTCAGCTTTCCTAGCAAATTCACAAACACAACCAGAGAGTTCCGAGCATTCGAGACACAAGGTCATCACTTTCCGTGTGGCAGAAACTACAATGTGAACTCACTACACATTATAACGTTAGTTTGATGTTAATTGGAAGAAAATTTTGATCTAGAGTTTTAATCAGTTTTTTCTTGTTCCAACTTTTTTAGATTTTTCACTAGCAAATTGAAATTTTTTTAATTTTTTTTTTTAATTTGATGTGTAACATGTCCGGAATCTGACACGCCCGGCGCCTAGGCCACACCAGCTCAGAGGCCTAGACCAGCCGTCCCATGTACGCAACATATTTCGGTATACCATAGAGTATGGGAATATTATGCGAAACACGTACCTGCATCGAAATATAGGCCATGAATCCACCATATAGGACAAGTTAAACTCCAAATAAATGTAAACTTAAATAAAGATGGATAAATACTATGAATATGATGAAACCAGAGTTTATAATGAGGAGTTGAATCATCAAAATCAGCAAAATAAAAGTTGATCAGGTGACTCTTTGTAGTCTGTCATGCTTCAGTGAAACGGCCGTAACATTTAGTAGGAATATTATTTTTTAGATCCATAATTGTTTTTGAAAACTAGACTCGAAGAGCTTTCCAACCATATACAATATGCACCATAACTCCTTCCCAATCAAAGTAGTTTAATTATTGAAGTTGATTGACTGTTGGTGATCTCTTGCTGCGTAAATGCGCACCAACTTTTCAGTTTCTTCTCCCGCTCCTGCGTTAGTGATGTTGAAGTTCAAGCAACTGTTGTTGCCCATGATGCGGAAACCGTTGTCCCAACTACTGAAGATTGTCCTATATCTGAAGGACTTGAAGGCATGCTGAGGAACATGCTGTTGTAGTTGAAATCAATATAAACGAAGTTGCACCCATAGAAACCTACAAATGAAAATGTTCCAGAGAGCTTGATTAAACAATCGATGAAGTCGCTGATGAAGAAGTTGTTGGTGCACAGGAAGAAAATATAGAGGAGAACCCTGATGATGTTCAAGGAGATGAAGCTCTTGCTAGTGGTGATACAAATGTTGTTGCAACCACAGTTGAGGTTCCTACTATTGGGAACCTAAAAGTGAAGCTGTGAATGACGAGGTACCTACTGAAGGCACTGAAGGAGTTGGAACAGAAGTGCCCCAACCTGAGGATACAAATACTAGAGCGAATGATGCTGAAGAGAACATTCCTGAGAATATGGCTGAGGAAGGAGAAGTTGTTCCTGTGGAACCCCCCGAAATCGATGAAGAATAAGGTGAGTTGGACTCTCTTCGTCTGTCCTCTGCTTTGGACAGACTCCTAAAAATAAAGTTCGGAAGTTCATCTCGCAATGCCCCAGCACCTGCTAAAAAGACTTTCAAAATGACTAAGGCAAAGGCTTGAATGTCCAAAAGAGTAGGATCTTCCTTTTTTCATGAAGATAAAGCGTTGAAGGAGGCTTATTATTATGCTTCTGGCGGTCACTATGCTCAGGATGTTCTTGCTGGAAGAATTGTAATTTCAGAAGCTCAGTTTGTTTGGAGAGCGTATACCGATGTTGGATTCTGTGCATTCCTTGAGGAGAAACATTTGTTGTTTTGGGCAACAAGATTGGAACGTTACTGTCCCTGCCTTGTCAAGAAGTTCTATGCCAATTTGAGTAGCAAGGTACTCAATCCAAACACTCTCTAGTACCATAAGATATATATGTGTGGCAAGATTTTTGAACTAAGTACTGCAGTGATCAATGAGTGGTTACAACTGTCAGAAAATGATGAAAACAAGATGCCATCCAAACTGATTGACGAATCAACAAAAGATATTTCCCGAACCATATATGTTGGAAATGTTTTGACATTTAGACGCTCTGGAGTGACGGGCACAATATTGACGATAAAATATCAATGTCTCTTTCAACTTTATGGGTGCAACATTTTCCCAACAGTCAACAATACGAGTGAAGATGATTGAATTTTATTCAGATTCAAAAGTTGATTGAACACGATTGCCTTATCCTGGTTTAATTTGTTTGTTCTTAAGTTCCAAGGGAATTCATCCAAAACCTGATGGGGAGGTGTTTCCCATTAGATCATTTCTTGCCAAGTCCAACCTCAAAAAGCTCCACAGCGACTTTCTCCTTGGTGCCCCGCTGGATGTCGGTGCCAGAGTGGAGAAACGTAAGGAGTTACTGAATGAGGTGATGAATGATCAATCTGCTATGTCTGTTGTTCTCATTGTTCAGATACGGAAAGTGGCATAGGCCCTGAGGCTGTTTCCTCGCCACCCTGGAGCCATTGATGAGGATGTTGATGATGATGATGAAGTTGGTGATGGTGCGAAGGAAGCCGACCCTTGACTACCTCATTTTTGGCCTCTACTGCAACGCAAAGGGGAGAATGCAACAAGCTAGGGGGAGTGTGTGCTCTTGAGGTGGAGTAGGTATTTCCATTTACCATCTGCCATTTGTTGATTATGTTTTCTGGCTGTTTTTGATAATCTGCCGATGTATGTTTGTTGTTAGAACATTTGGTTGTTAAAGGCGTTTTTGGCTTATTCGAATTGATGGCCAGTAATAACTTTGAATTGGACTATGATTGTGGTGTGCATGTGTGAATGGTGTTTCTATTTGCTCCTTAATTATGCTTTGTTGCATATGACAAAAAGGGAGAGATTGTTGTCATAGACAAAAAGCCAAAACCCTTTTTGTTTATACTTTTGATATATGAGCAAGTGTGCAGGTTGTTGTTGCAACAGTCTATTGACACCATTTCTGAAAATCTGCACAGTGGCAGAAAGTTGACCGAGTTGGTTTTGAATGAATTCAACGTGTCCCACACTCGATGGAACATGACAAATGTATATGTGTTGGATAGAAGAATTGCAGGAGAAGTCAAATGAAGTGTCCTCTCGTACTGCATGGAATTTATTGCCCTTTACAAGCTGCCCCAAAGTTGATACACAGTCAACTTTTTCTCTTGTGTGCAAGTTTGTGTTTTGTTTGCATGTATGTTTGTTTTCGTGGATGAGTAACCAAAACTGAGAGTGGGTTTTCCCTCCACCTTTTAATGTGTTGAGAGACTCATCCATGGAGGTTTGAAGATTAGAAAAAAGATTCTTAAAATTGAAACCGAAGAAGATAATCATCCAATATACAACTTATTTTTTAGCTTGGCCGGTGGTCTGGTTGGAGTCGTTACGGTGCAGTAACAACCAATCTATAAGAGTTTTCAAAAAATAAATTGAGCTTGGGTAGAATATAGATTGGGTTGTTCGAGTTTGTCTTATAAAGTGTAAACGAAGGATTTGGTTTAGTTAAGACTTCTGGATTGGAATCCCCTAAACGTAGGTTGAAAAACCGAATTGGATAATCAAACTTTGTGTATTGTTTTTCTTTCTGCACTTGTTTAGCCATCAATCTGTGCACAAACAGACATTGCCATTATAACCACGAGACAACTACGTTGTAAAGTTGTGTTTACATCGAACGTTTCACAATTCTGTTGTGCAAATTACTCGGAGGCTTTGGACCTCTTATTTGATCAGCCCTTCGATTTCCAGCATAGTGTTTGGTTTCCTGTTAGTTTTTAGTTTCAATTTGATTAAATATAGTTTTTTTTTTATTTGAATTTTTTTATATTTATAACATAATTTTCTAAAATTTCCATCAATATTATTATAAAAATATATCAAAATATTACGCACATAAATTTTACCATGCATACCAAATAAACTATTTGTAATACCCCCGGAGTTGAGCCGGTGCTATGCCAACTTCCGTGGATGAGCCAATGTCAGGCCATCCAAGGTTGAATATAGGTTAAATGGATTGAAAGACTACTCATGTCAACAATATGCACATTCCTTTTTGGGAGCTCTACTGAAAGAACTCTAGAGTTAAGCGTGTTTACTCTAGAGTAATTTGAGGATGAGGGGTGATCCCCTAAGAAGTCTCCCAGGGTGTGCGTGAGTAAGAACAGAAGCGCGCTGGAATGACTCGTGTTGATATGTGGGGCCAGTCTACGACATCCCGATACGCCCGGCTTTTTGTGCCTTGTGGGCGGGGGTATCACACTATTTTTCATTAATATTATAAACTTATTAATATCTTTTTATGAAAATTTAAAAGGTTGTGAATATTATATATGTTTAAAATAACTTCTAAAATATTTTAGGGTGCGTTCATTTGTGGAATTTCCAAAATATTTCACTGTGTTGTTATTGTGTTGTGAGTAATCATGAAAAATCCGTTAGTAAATTTATTACTCACGGAATTACTCATGAAATTTTGTCTGTGAGTATTCTGCTAGTAAATACCTCGTAAGTAATTTCTCACAAGAAAAATCCATGAACAATTCTGTAAATAACTTACTCACGACATTATTCACGAAATTCTGTTCGTGAGTAATTTGCTCACGTAATTACTCACGAAATTCTGTCCATGAGTAATTTACTCACATAATTACTTACGAACTTTGTCCGTAAGTAAATTTACTCACATAACAAATTATGTGAGTAATTCCGTGAGTAAAAATTAACAAACTTTTTTATTTGCGATGGAATGATTCCATAAGTAATTCCGTGAATAATTTACTCACAGAATTACTCACATAATTTTCCCTTGCAACATGTCAACATGATGTTTGAAATGGACTAATTTCCGTGAATAATTTTCCCGACCCCCAAAATAATTTATATTTCGATTTATCTATACCTGTCTCAAACCATATATTACGACAACAAAAATCCAAACTAAAAAGTAAATTCCACCAAGCCAAATATCTAATAAACAAAATACGAGCGAATCACATGATATTTATGAGCATAGTTCCATAATCGATAGATATCACAAAAAATAGAAACATAACCGTACAAAGGCTGCAAAGGCAAAGACAAAGGCTAACGGAATGAAAACATATATAAGCAATATAAAGTCTGTATAGCTTTATGTGCAAAGGTGTAATACTCTGAAAATGGCAAAAAAAACCTACAACAATAACATTAACTACCTGTTCGGAAAGTAACTCAGCAAACACACATCCAACCCACCAAATCCCGATGCTAGTAGTATATTATGTGGCTGCGAAAATCAGCTCAGGAGCTCTGTAATAGCTGGAGCAGATATAAGATATATTGGTCTCTTGTTTGACCTGGCAGAGAAACGGAATATAATTATTAAATACTTAAATTGCTTAAATGCAGGTTCGACTGTAAAAAAATGTAATGCAGCCAATAGTATAAATCTTGACAATTATGGGCAAATAGAATACCATTTATTTACAAACTTACTGCCAATAGTATAAATCTTGACAATTATGGTAACAAATTCGAAAAAGAATTAAATGTGGATAAAGCATGTGATAATACTGACGTAAATATATGCATGTGTGTGTACATATATGTGTTTGGATCTTAAGGTATATATAAAAAAGAAACAAGATATATCAATTCACAATGGACATTCCAACCTGTTGCTATCGATCACGGGTTCCACTGGATGTGGCTCTCCCTCTTTAAGAAACGCCCGAGTATAGACTTCACCTATTTACAGATAGAAGACAATTTTTAAATTAACACAAATCATTAAGGTGAGCTGAGATGAACTCTAGTGTCACTAAAGCACCATTTGCCGTATCCTTTAACCAAATAATGCATTTTTCCCCTTTATTAACAACTTTTAGAGTCTCTTCGCATGCCAATATGTTGCCATTCCATTTGTCAGCCCTACAGTAAAGAACAATTACTTTTAAATTATTGATATCTATTCATGAAAAATCAAGTTTGCACCAACTCTAGAATTGATATATAAAATACATCATCCGTTGTTTTTGAGACTGTAATTACAACATATAACTTTCCTGAGACATTGCTCGATGTAAGACCCGGACGATAGGAACTTCTGCCCCTATGCTCATATGTTGAAGTAATATGATGTGTTCGACCTAAGACATGAACAAGAAGAAGCATGTGTTTATGAATTATGAAATACTGCTCTAATAACCCAATCTCAACTTTTAATGTATGCAAGACTAAGGCAGAATTAGATACTGAAAAGTTTGAAGAGACTTGGTACTAGCCTAAAATTATGCCACGACTGCAAAACAAAATTTTAATATTCAATTCAACTACGTCGAGCTGTCTGAAGATCATAAAGCAGGGATGGTGGTAATCACAAGTTAGTTGGATTCAAGAAAGGAAATTTAGTTGGTTAATTGTGATGGACATATCACAGATATATGTGAAGCTAACAAGACCTCTACAGCATTCGGCAGATGAAGAAGTTACACATTGTAACGGTTCTTGGCACCCCTGTCAAGCTTCTTCGCATCCTCTTGTGCTAGAAGAGTAGGTAAATTATCTCTTAGGAAAATATGTAGAATGAAAGAGGTACTAAACATGATTGACAAGAAACTTACATGGAATATTAAACCGATATTGTCATTGTAATTCAGTAACTCTTTCCATTGTTTTCCAATGCTCACCTAAAAATGTTGATTTCATAATAACATGAATTGACATAGTGTGAGGCTATAAAATGTGGATAGTGAATTGTTCAAGTCATTCCTCAGACAAGTGAAATTTTATCTTGCCTATTTCGTACATTGACAACGGCTCTGCATATCTGAGAGGCTATAAAATGTGGATAGTGAATTGTTCAAGTCATTCCTCAGACAAGTGAAATTTTATCTTGCCTATTTCGTACATTGACAACGGCTCTGCATATCTGAGAGGCTATAAAATGTGGATAGTGAATTGTTCAAGTCATTCCTCAGACAAGTGAAATTTTATCTTGCCTATTTTGTACATTGACAACGGCTCTGCATATCTAATCTCCATGATGAAATTGCTCTCCAATCATTGCGAGCAACTGAATGGAATCAATCCCACCAAAGAAAGTTTCTATGCTAAATCATTAAAACAACAATATCGAACTAATTACATTATTAACTTCAAGACAAAAATGATAAGTTCTAATATTAGGTTTTATATAAATAAATACCATACATAATATATCTAGACAAAAAGAACCTATAATTACTTATTGCATTCTAGTTTACTTCTAATAATTGATGTGATAGAAATAAAATAAGATGTAATAACAAGATAAAGATAGAAAAAAAAAAGATCGATATAATGCTCATTTAAAATTCCTTCCCCAAATTATCCATATACAACAACTGAAATATTAAACTTTTATCTCATGTTTCAGGCAATCTGCTCTAACTTTATGTAAGTCTTACAGCTATGGCTACGATTAAATTTTATCACACATGTTCAATGTACATTAATTTATATGTACACACACTTACAAACTAATATGTTTATTGTAATAAAAAAAAGTATAAAACTAATAGTAAAACTAACTGCTTTCTTACGAAATGGTGGAATTAATTTATGTATATATGCCAAGATCCACCTATGTTTATATATACTACTTTCAAACATAAAGATGCATAATAATTGTTTTGAATGGCTGACCGCCACCATAATGTAGCAAAATTAGATGAAGATAAACAAAAATACTGTAAAATTCTCCATATCTAGAAACAATGAGATGCCAACAATCTTATTTTCTCTTGCAAATAACATTATAATTATTTGAGCGTTAAACAACTAACTCAAATTAGGAGCTTTTTGGCAAAGTAAACAACAACATTAACTACCAAGTTAACTAGTATTCCATAATCATGTAAAAGAAAGAATTAGCGAAAAAAATCACACATATTTTGAAGTAATGCATTGGCAGGGAGATAATCAAACCTTCTTTATATATGCAACAGCGCGCTTTGCATCTATTTGACAGTCACCGGGAACAACAACAATGGTGTATGCATCTCCAAGCTTAAGAGCAGGTTCTTCGGCTAGCAAATCATCACAATTTAAATAAATTGTACTCACACCAAACTCTACTAGCTTATACCCCGTCTTCTTGAAATCAGCACAGCACAATCCTCTGAAGTTTTACCAACCAACATGCTTCATGTTAAAAGGTTTTACGAGTCTTAGTTAAAATCCGAAGTTTTTTCAAAGTAAATTTCAATTGGATTCGACTATTGGTCTCTATCTACCATTAGTTGTAAAGATATAAAACACTTGAGGGGTGTTCTCATAGAGTTTGCAGATTTATATTATCCCTGTTTACTTTCATATCGAATTTGTCATGAACAAGTGGTATCGAAGCAGTCACAAATAGAGAATTCAACGAAGAATCTTCCTAATGAAAGGTATACGCCAATGTTATGCAACACCTTTGGAATCTCAGAGAATCCTATAAGATTCATAAACAAAGTGGACTATACAAAACAACAATTTAAGCATCGAATTTTAGTGAATAAAATCTCCAAATCATTGATGAATCCAAATTACAGAACACCCTAAAGCACAATGGTTGCATGAAAAGCACACCAAATTTGTATCACCGTTCCATTAGCGTATTTGAGACAGTGCAAAAATCGATTGAAGAATTTGAAAAAATCGAATCGAAATCATTTTTTTACCAGTTTTCATCCACCCAAGCATCTGGAGTGGATCCAAACCTTCAGTCCGGACACTCTCGGCCAGAGCTTCCCACAATCCATGGCTTCTTACCGTCAGCTCCCATTTATAACTAGCGGCGGTCGCAGTCGAGAGGTAGGTGGGGGAGGGCATTTGTCGACATATTGATGAAGAAGCGTGGCTAGCTACAATCTCAGAGGATTGAAATCGAAGTGATGATATGAGAACGCGTGTTTGTTGTGAAGAGGGTTGCTATTAAGATTTAGGGTTGGTAACTTTAGTTTTGTTTAAAATAAAATTAAAAAAAAAACAATTTTAATTATTTATTTTTAATAAATAAATTATTTATAAAATATGATCAGTAAATATAAGATAAAAATATTTAAAGTTTTAAATGAATATATTGAACTCTAATAAGAAAAAGAATGTAGTTTACTAAAATTGTACCAAAAATATTTTGTTATATTTGGTATTTTTTGATATGGTAAATCAATTTGCAATATTAGATAGGGGTTGAAATCTATTTTTTTTAAAATAAAAAATAATTAAAAATAATTTACGAAATGACAAAATGAACTGGTGTTAAGGTTTTGGAGAGAGAGAGGATGTAGAAATGGAATTACAAAATAAATTAGGGGAGTAATATTATTAAGTATGCCACTAATTCTCATTTACTAGACACATAATAAATAAATATATCTCAATAAAATTAAAATTAAAATTAATTTTTTTAAATAAAATTCAAATTTAGAAAAAATAAAAAAATATTAAAAATGAATATATATAAATTGACGGTTCAAACTGAAATTTGTGGTTTTAATTTTCGAATTTATCACATAATTTAATTTCATGAGTAATTTTGTGAGTAAATTTTAATTTTTTGAGGAATTGCTCACGGAATTTAATTTTGAAATGAATTTTGTGAGTAAATTTCAATTTTTTGAATAATTACTTATGATATTAATTCTATGAGTAATTTTGTAGGTATTCTGTGAATAATTACACACATAATCGATTTCGTGAGTAATTCCGTGAGTACTCATCCGTAATTACTCACGAAATTAATTCCATGAATAATTTTCGTGAGTAAAATGCAATTTGCAGTTGTTTATCTTTCTTATTCTTGTCTTTCCCTTGTCTTCCTACTCCCCCTCATATTTTAATCATTTTATTACAAATATAAACCTACAAAATACAAATTAAGACACTTTTATAGACACAAAGATTATTTACAATTTCAAATACATCAAAATAACTCATAATCGACCCGATGGTGCGATACATAGCAAAGTAAAATGATCTGGCACCGAAACTTGTACAAACTCAGCCTAGGCACACATAAAATGGATTCGAACACATCACAAACTCTAAAAATCAATTCTATAAAAATATAAACTTTAACTTACTTTTTTTAACGTTGCTTTGGGGGTGAAGTCTTTTTCGACATTTCGAACGGGATCAGAGCTCTCAGAAGTAAGGGAGACTTCCGGCAATGGCAAATATTTCTTCGGGGAGGCTCGACGGCGATTATTTCATCTGGTACTTCGATAGCGAAAGGTAGAGTGGGAGGGAAAGTGTTTTGAAGAAATAAATCTATAAAAAACGTGGGATGGTGGGTTTTATTAGAATTTTATTTTATTTTTGGGTTTAAATTTCTGTAACTAATTTCAGTATATAAATACAAATTTTAGGCACATTGTTCTAACATTTTTTTTGTACAACGGGATAATTTTGAGGTATATAATTAAATAACTTAGGTTTATATCAAAATAACGAGAGTACATAAGTCAAGTATAAACTAAAACAAAAAGTAGGAGTGCAGTGTTCTTTGGTAACGAGAATGAACTGAATCTAAATGTATTTTAGCTAAGAAGTATTTAAATCCAAGTGTCCATTTTCTTTTGTTACTAATTTACCTTTAAATATTGTTTTCTAAATTGTTTATTCATTGTTGTTCTTCAATATTCGTATAATAGAATAAACTTAAGTAAATATTATAGTATTAAATAATGATATAAAGTGATTTTTTTATTTAAAAGATAGAAGATTCGGAATTTCTACACCAAAAATATTCTATATATAAATTACAATAAATAAAAGAAAAAAAGCCAAATTTATAATTTTTGTAGGCTAGAAGATATAACATAAAAATGTTAAATATTTTTAATAAAGGGTGAAAATTATTGATCATTGAAAAATACAATAATATGTATATTACATTAAAACAATAGATGCTGAGTGTGATTTTGATTTGAATTAGGAAAGAGAAATTAAATTAGACTAACTATATCTCTATTGGTGTAATTGTTAACGTTAGCCCACCTACTAAGATACAGAAAGTAAGAAAGACAGTGCAATTCAATTAATTATATTCTAACCAAGTATATGCGAAAATTTGTTTGTATTTTGATGCATGCATTATAATCACCTCTCCCCTGTTGCCAGCACATTCATAGAGTTGTAAACAGTTGAAGTATTCAGTATGGATGTTTCATAAGTTTTTTGTCACGTCCGATCCTTAAGCTACAAGTGATTTTATGATTGTATCTGCCATTCCATCGGCAAATGGCAGCAGATGGCCAGCTCCGGGCACCTCGTGGTATCGGATCCACGGCAGCTGGCTGGCAATGTATCGCTGCAAGGTAACCGGAACTATAACATCTTCCTCTCCCTGCCACAACTGAACTGAGCCCGACCCTTCACTCTCTGCAAATGGATTCTCGAGATCCACCGGGCTGAATTCCCACTTTCCAAATGCAACTATAGCGTCACGGTGAAGGGACTCGAACTCGCCTTGTTGCCTTGGCAATCCCTGTCGGGATTACAAACACAAGCTAATGAAAACCACATTTATAAAGGAGAACAAATGATCCCCATGGATTTCTTATATATACTTTCAACAGATTCTATAAGCTTTAAATAAATTTTTCTACATATCAACATCATAATCCGATGATCAACAACTCTACACCATCTGTTATTTTGTACTAAACAAACAAAATACAATTACCAGATACTCCTTTCTGATCTCCAGTATCCTCGGAAGAAGCTCTTTGTCTTGATTGGAGAGTATGCTTGCGCTCCGAGCAATTACGCTAGAACTGGCGAATAACTTTTGGGTGTTCCACCAGTAGGTAAGCCATGGCACATAGTGAGCTACGCGAGCAACCCATCGATCTGCTGCAGGCTGCAGTTCAAATCCTTGTTGGGAAACGTTTGAAGGAATGCCTCGCCACCAGAAATTCACAGCTGGCGCAACAAGAGCTGCTCCCGCCAATCTGTTAACATAAAAATTGTTGTATTATTTTATAATTAGAAATAATGATGCTGCAAAAGTAGCTGTGGCATTAAAGCCTAACGCCCACGAAGAACCTGTGAGGAATATGTTTGAGACACGCCCAGGAAATTTGCCCGCCCATCGAAAATCCAACGATATAGAATTTGGATCCCAATTCCAATTTATCAGCAAGCGCCTCAATGTCAAAAGCCAAGCTCTTAACCGTGCGGGTAGGGTGAGGATCACTCTCTCCATAACCCGGTCTATCAAACGAAACTATGTAGATTCCTTTACTTTGAACTAAATCCTGCAGACGAGCTTGAACAATGAAGTTTGATCTACAGACAAAGAATAACCAGAAAAAGGAGATAACCTTACCGGGGAGAGATTTGCCGTTATTGCAGAAACATCATGCCTGCAAGAATCAAAGCCATGGATAAACACTATTTTGTGCTTTGCAATATCCTTTGGGACACCAAATTCTTCATAAGCCAAGTGCCTCCCATCGTCAAGCCGTATTCTGGAAGCTGTAACCGGAGGTCCACCTGCGGAGCCACATATCTTTGGAGGTGGCGGCTTTGTCGCCTGATAAGCCCAAGCAGATAACCCGACAAACCCAATCAGCAGCATTTTCGTGAACCATCCTGCTGAAAGTATTTCAAGATTGAACCTAATATGCCCAAATGTAGTATGATCATTAAAAACAAATAACAACAATCCAATTCATTGTATTATCATTTCAACAAGTTTAAACTGCCCAAACTACAAATGACCATTTTCCTTCACAAAGGCATGGATCAGTACAAAAGATCCATACAAAACTGCTTAGAGGATATTCAAGTTCGCATCAATTATGTAGCTTGATGAATTCTTAGTTGTTGTGTAATGGTGAAATATCATCAAGGTAAGTCAGATGTAAAGCATCATAATTGTTCATTTATGCGAATAAGAAATTAGTAGAAAACATCCTAGGATGTAGGCAAGATTTTGGTCGAACCTAGTAAATCTGGGTCCTTTCTTTTCACAGTTGCTTTTTAATTCGGTTTACAACATCAATAACTATTATTTGCTCAAAGAATAGGTCAGGAGAATGACACAAAACAATGTTAAATTATAGACTAGATTGCACTGAATGCTGAGGCCAAAAACAAAAAATAAAAAATAAAAAAAACGAGCAAGCACATTCTTAAGTCTTAACCAAACCTGTCGACGTAAACCTTATGCCTACATCAATTCTCGTCCATGTTTATAGCAGTCTACCAAGTAAATGAAGAAATTCAAACACATTTTCCACCAAAATCTACATACGACTAACGAAAATTGCAATAAATTAAACCTGAAGTGGCTGAAGAAGTAGCCTTTGGCTTCGGTTTCCGCGTATGCGCCCTCGCCGATGCTGCCGTTATTCGCCGCGTCTGTCCAGCCGCCATTTTTCTCCCACCAGCGACGAAACCAATTCCGCCAAGCAAAATCACGAATTTCGTGACACCGAGTGCAAATATTCTATTGCCTGAATCCGACCGCATCAGTGCACAAACCGAGGTTGATCACGTGCGTCGTTCCCTTTTTTGGGTTCACGAGTGGCGTACAGCTTTTACTGGGTTGGGCCAGTTAGCAGTCATACGGACGTGTTTGACTGGGGATTTGTCTTTTAAGGGTGTTTTATTTGGGGCTTGATTTTGAATTTAAATTTGAAATAAAACTGACAAATATAGTTATTTAGGATATTAAATTTTCTGCATCAACAAAATTATGTTTGAATTTTAAAAATTAATATATGTATATATTAAGGTCTCATTTATTTTTTTATTTGTTGATTTTTTAATATTAATTATTATATTGAAACGTAAAATATAATACAAATTAAGAAAAAACTATAAAAAAATATTTATACTAGTGTTTTATAATTATAAATTGGTCATGCCTTGCCTCTCTAGATTGGAAAAAATTATAATAATTATGTGATTGGAATATAAAAGAGTGTTTGAAAAACACTTTTTCTAAAAATAACAAAAATAAATATTTTGATAAAATTTTTATAATTTTCAACAAGTAATAATAAAAATTATAAAAAAATACGCAACTAAATATTTTAAAAATAAAATACAAAATATCTTTAATTGTCATTTTACGCATCAACAACTAATATCACGCTGCTATTTTACCCTAATTGAATCAGCTAACAACTAATCGTTAATCGAATCAGCTAACGGCTAACAACTATCAGCTAATTGTCAAACACACCTAAATATTAAAAATATTATATTTACATTTGTATTATACTCCATTTGTCTCATATCTATATATCCATTAAAAATCTTACTATTATATTGAGATACAGTAGAAATAAAGGTAAAAAGATTAAAGTACCCTTATTAGTATTGTATGATACAAAGGTGATGACATTTGTGTAATATATTGTAAATTGAAAGGGTATTTGTAATGTTAAGTAGATAGTATAAAAAATGAAATTGATATTTTGTTACGAGACAAATCAAAATAGAAAAATCAATATATTATTAAAGGACGAATGAAGTATAATACTACCATAAATATTTTTATTTTTTTTTCTTTATTTGTACTATTCAAATTCTATTTTTTATTTCTAATCTCATTCAAAAAAATTTATCAAAACTAATCACACTTAAAAATTTATTCAACATTTTTTGCCCCACTAATGGAATATACTGATCTCGTAACAGAAGGATCCATCTGGCCGTTTTTAGTTTCAACCTGATTCAATTGATCAATTCCATTGTTAATTATTCAAACCTGCGATTCCTTCTCTGCCCAATTGTTCAACGCCAATTCGGACCCCCCGTCTGTTCCAATCCTCTGCAACTCCACCGACTACAGCTTTTGCGCGGAGGTGTGGAAGTCGTACCAGAATGTACCAATCCAGAATTTTCCAATTCGCCTCCACGCTGCAAAGCAAGGAGGCCATCCCTAGAGCCAGCAAAAACTGACTCGACACGATAATCCGACACAAAATAATTGGGTTTGGGTTAAAGATTTCAACCCGATTATGTATACGAGTTGACACGAATCCGACACAATAATAAACGGGTCGGATTAGGGTTGAGGCTGTTGATGACTCCAAATGTGAGTATATTCTTAGCTTGACAAAAATGTGTATTACTCGAATTTCTGCATAAGAACCATCAAAATAATTCGTAATCGGCATACAATATTGATTTATATCACTAAGCATGATCCAGAGTTCGTTGTTGAGATTATTAACGATTTTTGCCATCTTAAGCGGTAATCTGGAACTAGAAAAGCTAAGGCAGACGCCGCAAGCTACAACCGCCTTCGTTCGCAAGCGCCCAGAACACACTTTGAAAAGACTAAGGCATGAGAGGCAAGCAGCCACCTTCACAGCCCGCAAGCGATAGCCTCTCCCGCTTGCAAGAGACAGTCCAGATACCCACCGCTGCCGACTATCACCAGATTTCAACTAAGTACTTCAACTGCAGCGGTACAACCATTCCAATTCCAGGAAGCACAAGCGAGCCGAGCTGCGCTGATGCCCTTCAGCTCTCCAGCAAGCGAGGAAGATCTGGGTCCTTAACCTTCAACGCAAGCGAAGCGGGCACCCTGGGAGTTATGGCCAGCAACTGCTTCAATAGAATAACTACCAGCAACCGCCTAACTGCTCAGCGGTTGGAACTGCCTAACAACTACTTGCAACCGTCTCTTTACATCTGCTATAAATAGGGCCAGATATCTTTATGTAAAATGATCGAATTTTAGGTGATTTCTGCATACTTTAGCATTCGTCGTCTTCCTGTTTCAAAGAGCTCCAACCCTGTAAGGGAGTTCTCCACTTGAATGGCCAAGGGAGTAGGGGTCTTCCCTCTCCCTTGCTCACGTCTTTACTGCTTTCTTAGATTAGATTACTGCTTTCGTTTACAGCTTTGTAGTTCTAATCTTTCACGCTTTCGTAGTATATAAAGAAATATCATTCATTTTTTCAAACTAAATTCTTTCACACTTTTCCACACTTATATAAATCAAGTTTAGAGAATCTCATTTCACTGGTATAGAACGAGAGAAGAATTGATTATCTAAGCCTTGTTATGCGCCAAAAGCGGTCTCAAGTTAGTTCAATGTAGTTAAGTACGCGGGAGCCTTGTCGACCTGCTTAACTGCTGTGCTAAATTCGATTTTGATTAAATAGTAGTAACATCAGGGGGTAAAGCCACTAATGAGGCAGAAATTGGGAAAATTAACGGGACATAGACGGGGGTCTATTAGGTCGCAGAAATTCCTAGTTACAGTAGGGTTTCTTTCTTAGGGTAAACTGTTTTTTTAGTCCCGTAATTAGACCCCTTTATCATTTTAGTCCCGTGAGTGAAGCCTATCGCAAACTAGTCCCATAAGTGAAAAATTTTCGCTATTTTAGTGCTCCGGTGCCGGAGACGCCCGCGTGGCTCGCCGGAGGTGACGTGTCCGCCAGGTGTCCCGCCAGGTCAGCGACACCTGGCGGACACGTGGATTTATTATTTTTTTATTTTTTTTAAATTTTTTAAAATTTTTTTAATTGGACCAAATAAAAAAAAATACAAATAAAATTAAAAATAAGTTTTTAAAAAAATTTAAAAAAATGAAAAAAAATTAAAAAAAACCCACGTGTCCGCCAGGTCAGCGACACCTGGCGGACACGTCACCTCCGGCGAGCCACGCGGGCATCTCCGGCGCCGGAGGACTAAAACAGTGAAATTTTTTCACTTATGGGACTAGTTTGCGACAGGCTCCACTTACGGGACTAAAATGATAAGGGGGTCCAGTTACGGGACTAAAAAAAGAGTTACCCTCTTTCTTATAATGTCTTAATTCTGGGTGTCATTGAAGTCTTGTTGTAAATCCCCCCAGGCCAAAATTCCAGTGTGATGAGTTCTTTACAATTTAGTTTATATAATTACAACACTTTTCTCCCATCATTTCCATAATATACATATACTCTTCCGATAACACACTTACATCATTCGGTTACCACTGGCGCTCATGTCCCGATCATTTGGTTACCACTGGCGCTCCACCTCTCGCTTTCGCTTCGCTCGTTTCCGTTCACCTCATTTTTATTGCTTTATTTACCGCTTTCAGTAGTTAAATTTCGGACCCGCTGCAAGCGGATCCTTTCTTGCATTTTTTGTCGCTTTCTTCAAGATTTTCACCTTTGAAATTCATGACTTAAAATCCTTGTGTTCGACCTGGAAACTCACCAGTAAAAAGAGTATAAATAATTGTGATAACTACTCAGGGTCTACAACCACACAATTGCTATATCTGATCATTTTCTTATAAAATCCTACTCATTAATTTTCGAATAAAATTTCCTGTAAATTTGTATGCAAATTGCAATAACCAAATTTTGTTATCAGCTCTCAACTGGAACTCGACACGACAACCCGATTATAATATTATTAATATTGATTAATATATTTATTATATATCTAATAATCATAATTTAATATTTTTTCATAAATTAATTTAAACTAAGTTCAATTTTAAATAATTCAACCTAATTAACGCTCAAACCAATAAAAACTAACCTAACACGACAACAATACAAAAAATAATTTAATTTAAATCAAGAAATTAGATTTAACTATGTATACGGGTCAACACGAGTCAACTTGAACCCGACACGATAATAAAGGGGTTAACACTAACCCGACACGATAATAAACGTATCGGGTTATAGTTGATTAATTTAACCCGTTTAAAGTATTCAACCCGATACGAACCCGACACGAATCGACCCATTGCTGATTGCCGGCTCTAGCCATCCCACGCAACGCCACCTCCTCAACACTGGTTGTGTTGGTAATCTACTATATTGGAATTAATAATCACACCAGAAAAATCGAGGCAAATTCTAGAAAGAAGAACATGATAGAACAACACACTCTGTTGTTGTGTTTTATAGAATTCACACTCTTGCCTTACGAATGAATAAAATACAATAGATGAAAGCAAATGAAAACTAAATTCACAATCCTGAAACTGCTATAAATGGTTAAATATTCAAATGTACCAATTATGTCTCAATTACTCCTACTATTAATCACAAAATTGAATTTCTTTTGACCACACTAATAATATCAAAATATCAGAATTATTTTATCATTTTTCCCCCATTAATTCTGATTTTTGTCATCAAAATTTTTCAACCCCAATAGACTTCTCATCTCGATATACTTGACTCGTGGTAATGTTTTGGTCAATATGTCAGTTTGTTGCTCTTCTCCATTAACACTCTCCACGCTAATGATCTTTTTTTCAACACATTCACGTATAAAATGATACCTCGTATCTATGTATTTGCTGCGACCATGAAACACTAGATTTTTCATTAGCGCTATTGCTAATTTATTATCAACGAACAACCTCACTTTCGAGCTTTTCCATCCAGTTAAGTCCTTCAAAAATTTCCTTAACCATACGGCTTGACAAGCAGCCGCTGTTGCTGCCATGAACTATGTTTCACAAGAAGTGAGAGCCACAGTTTGTTGCTTCTGAGATAACCACGTAATTGGATTATTCGAGAAGTAAAACATTGTCCCG